CATCTTAGTGCCGTAGAGTGCAGCTGAGGACTGGTTGTGGGGGACGGGGGTGCTTTAAAGCATTCATTCCCTCTTTAGGTTGTTGTCCTTCCTCTGTATTCTTATCTTTCCAACCTCTTAATAGTTAAATCAAGATGATCAGCAATAAACCTGTGTTTGAGTTGGTGTGCACCTTGGGAGAGTGTTTTCCTTTCGTGGAGAGCTGCGGGCGTGAAGCAGGATTTCCCTTTGCGTTACTGTACTACGGTTTTGGCCGTGCATAACTGTGTCCACCTCCAGATCAAACTGGTGCTTAGCGAAGGATGGGTTGTGAAAGGTAACCCTTTGCCGTGCGACTGTTTCATTTCCGTTCAGTTTTACAGAGCGCAAGGCGATTCTCTGCTTTTGAGGAAAAGTCCGTGGGTGTTTCCGTGCCGAGGAAGCACCTGCAAGTCCTCACCGCCGTGCTTTGACTGCAGAGCTGTCAGTGCCGGGACTGAGCCTGAAAAGCATCGAGTCTCTCTCATATTAGGGGAGGGCAGCGCGATGGAAACAAGTGAACTTGGCCTGGCACCCGGAGTTAATTTGCACTTTGAATCCAGCTATGGAAAAGGGATGCAGGGAAGGAAGCAGATTTTTCATGGTGTCAGACCGTGGCAACCTGCCCTGGGCAGGGGAACTCATCCAGTCTGAGAGCAGAGCGGGCTGCGGGCTGGATGCACGTTGTCCTCTTGTCTGCAGCTTTTGGGCACCTGTTGCCTCCACGCGTGGGGGAGAAGTTGTTTTTAGAAAACTTACCTACATTTAAAGGAAGTGAAAAGATAGGGGGAGTCCTTTTATCCCGCACCATCCTCTCCAGGGCTGTAGTACTGCAGTAGGCATTGCTTCTTCCCAGTGAGAAACGCAGCAGAGGAGCCGACCTTTCTTAAAATCAAGTTAAAACTTTCTCTTACCCTTCGTCCTGCATTGTGAAAGAGCAAACCTGCAAGTGGGTGAGGGTGGAAGAGGGCATCCAAGCATGGAGTGCGGTGGGGGAGGGCGAAATGTTGGCTCTACTGATGCAAAAATGCTGGGAATTAAACGGGATTTTTTTGTAACAAGCATCTGATGGGAGGGAGCTTACCTGGCTCTTGCCAAATAGCGTTCAGAGCTGTAGCTCTGACCAGAGAGGGGCTGCAAATGCGGGGTTTGAATCTGCCACGGAAACATGCTCTTGTGCTCTTTGCCTTTCCCAGCAGCGCCGGCAGCAGTCCCCGCGCATCTTCAGAGCCGGGTCCCGGCACAGCGTAAGAGATCTGCAAAGCGCTTTGCCTCTGTTGCTGGGAGACAGTCGGAGGGAGCTGGGGCTGCTTGAACAAACACGCTTTTCTCCTCGCCTCCTCTCTTCCCTCCCTCCCTCCCCACCTATGGGTTTTTTTTTTCTTTTTCCTCTTGGTGACTGGTTATAGGAAAAGCTTGGCTGGAACCGAGTGATTCTTGCTCCAAATGATCCCATGAGACTAAAGAACCTCACAGGCTTCCAGATCTGCTGAATTCAATGTCTTTTAGATAAAGATCCCAGACAGTAGGTAGAAGAACGGCTCCAGCTTAGAAATATACCTTGTCATGAAGCTAATTGACGTAACTCTTCAAAGCTTAATGCCCTTAAACTCCTGGAGCTTGAACTGAATTGACCTCAAGACCCAAATTCTTCAGCGAGCCCTCGGGGTTGTGGCAGTATCCCAGAAATCCTGCCGCAGCTCGGGTTCGGTGCCTGTCTGTGGGAGTGAATAAAACAGTACCAAAGCCCTTGGTCTTATCTGGAAAAGGGGCTTGGTTTGCACCATCCCTGTGTTTCCTTCTGGTCTTGCATGGCCTTTATGTACTGCCGATACGTAAGGGCTCCATGAAATTTCACGGCTTTGCTGGGGAGCATTCGCTGCTTCGGAGGGGCAAAGGCAGATGAGGAGGTGGTTCTTGCCGAAATGGTGACTGGCAAAAACGTGTATCGTGAGACCTAGGTTACCCCTGGGTTCCAGTCAGTAATCTCTGCTGAGAAATACGAGGCAATTAATACTTTTCAGTTATTTCACGTTGTCTACAGGCTTGAGCGGAAGCTGCTGCATCGCTCGCGTGTCCTTCAGGCTCCATCACAACTACTGAGAAATAGAAAAGTTCTTTAAAAGCGAGCCCATGGAGAGGAGCGGGGCTGCTGGAGTGAAGGCGACTGCCACAAACGCCTCCAACGGAGGGAAACAGTTAAAAGGCATAATCAGGGTAGAAAAAAAACTCAGCATCACAAGGCAGACTTTAAATTCAGTTTTTTCCTCTTAACTGGTTCCAGTTTAGCTGATCTCACACTCCTGTTGCTGATACTGCAGTTGCTGATTTGCACAAGAGCCTTAGGTTAGCTGACAAAAAAACCCCCAAGTTTTTCTTTCAGTTTTCAAAGCTGTATTTCTGGGGCTTCCTTATTCAGCCACAGTGAGTTTAAATAGCAAGATCAGATGACACGATGACTTGCTGTGTAATTTTTATCTGAAGCAATGGCTAGTGCTGTGAGCAGTTGCAAAATGAACCACCCTGGCTGTGTTTCATTTTTGTCATTTAAGGGCTGCCTCTGTCCACTTCAAATTGGGATATTTTTGCCTTTTACATGGCCTCATCCTTTTTTTAGTGCATCCCTTTAAACTTGAGCTTAAAACACAATATCCCATTTTTTTTCTACAGATAGCATGCAGGTTTTGATTAAAGTTCTGAACGACTTGCCTTCTGTAAGTAAAAGCTTTCATATCCCAGGCTATCGTATCAATTCTCCTTTCTCGTTTTTACCCTCCTATGAAACAGGGGGTCTGATCGCTCGTCCTGCCAGCCTGCTACCGGCTCTGTTAACCCTTGTGTCACGTTTGATGGCCCTGGCCTTTGTCAGAGCGCTGCACGGCCCCGGCAGCCCGATGGCGAGCCCGCCGTTGGGGTCAGGTACCTCCCGGCTGTTTTAGCAAAGGTCCACGCGGGTCCTGGCTGTGCCCGGGGCAGAAGAGCGATGAACGCTTCTGCCTGATGCGCTGCAGGGCAGCGTGCCGATGGCAGGACCCGTGCATCCAGCAACTTCCTTTAACCGAAATCTCTTTGTAGAACATACTTTGCTTTTCTTCCATACATGTTTGAATTCTGATTATTGGGTTTTTTCAGGCTGGTCTTCAAAGCTCCCAGTAAACTAGCACTAACCGTGTTTCAAGCCCAGCAGAAGTGCTTGTCCTCACGGTTTTCTAGGGGCAGAGGATCCGCATCCTTTAATGACTCTTCTAGAGATCGCATGAGTGCCTTCTCCCTGGTGAGATTTAACGCTACAAGTGCACTGCCTGTCCGCTCCCCGCAAACAGGAAGGACTTTATTGGAGATCTGACTTGGCAGGAGCCTTTTAAGACTGTCTGGGTCTTTTGTTGCACCAAAAAAAACCCCTCCCCAGTGGAGTTCAGCTTCAAGCTGCCATTGATTTTCATTGGAAGTCAAACTCCCGGCTTCCCGCGGTGTTTCCAGGAGCCCCGCTCGCTGGCCAGGCAGTGCTGGGAGCTCGCGCAGCTGCACCAAGCAAAGCATCGCGCTGGGATGCAGGCAGTGCAAAGGCGGCTGGGTGATGAGGTCCAGGAAAACTTGGACTCCTTCCCCAAATCTGTCCTTAAAAGACCGGGGAGAAAAAAAAAGTTTTGTAAGAGTTGATTTCCCCCCCCGCTCTCTGTTGCCAGTTGAGGTATCGGCTTTGCATTCAGCAGCGACTGCTCTGAAGTTCCTCATAGGAATATTTTCTTGGGAGATTTCTGTTCAGGAATCTCTCGCTGGGGGCTTTTTTCTTTTTCTTTTTTTTTTTTTTTTTTTTTTTTTTTTTAAATTTTCTCCTCGGTTATAGGTTGAAGACTGGGGTAAGCAACCAGACCTGAGCCTCTTAAGTGTCTCATTCCTCTTTGGAAAATAGTGGGCTTTAGTGCTTTAGGTTATTGAAAATTCTGAATTGACTAACTGAGGTGCAATTTATCAGGTCTTTCATCTTAACAGAATTAACCTAGTAATCATCGCTGTCAGTTTTCCCTCTGCAGCATTGCATTAGAAAACCTTGATTCACAAATTCTGCTCAAGAATTGTTTTTGAAAAGTTTATATTCTCATTTAAGAAAGTATCCTGTAGGTTCTGTGGAAATTGCAACTTGCATTAATTTTTTTTTTGTGGCAAATGCAGTCATTTATATGCAATTCTTAAGTGGACTTGAAAAGACACCATCTCGGGCAGTAGTTTTTACCTTTTTTTCTTAATTGCATGAGGTTTGCCTTGAGCTATTGACCGTGAAGCGCTTAAATCAGGGGATGAAATTGTCTTTAGCTCCCTCTCCTGGGTAGTTAAGGCATTTGCCCCCATGATGTTGCTGCTTTTGCAAACTTGGTCTATTTTCAAACTCTTTCTAAGCATCTTTGCTCTCAGTGGAAGTAGTGAGGAGCGCAGCATCCATGCACAGGATTGGGAAATGTGATGTTTTTTTAAAAAGAGGAAAAAAAAAAAAAACCAAAACCAAACCAAAAATACCTGACCAAACCCCGACTGAGGTGAAGCCAAGTTTACGTTCTGCATGCTGTGAAAGAGTTGGTGAACTGCAGTTCTTAGGCTTTGCTGCCGGTGAAGGTGGGGCTGCATGTTTGTACAGGGTGAGCTGAGGAGTTTGGGGTTCCTTTCCTTCTCCCTAATTTTATGCGCAGAGGGATGGTTTTGTTGGAGCTGTTCATTTTCAGACACTGGCAAGTTGTGGAAGGGAAGGCTCTGCGGAGTCCCAGTCTCTACACATCCCTTCCGAGTCGTCCATCCTTACGAAGACTTTTCCAGGCAAGGTGTTAAGGATACCTTTTCTGGGTCAGAGGTATCTTAACATCTTTTCCTGGATTTCTTCGGAAGTCACGTGGCAGGTGAAATCCCGGGGCTGCCTTTAACTTTTCCTGAGGCTTTATGAATAATACAGCATGTGCTTTTTTTTTTTTTTTTTTTTTTTTGATTTTCAGATTGAGAAAATCATGAGTTCCATTGGCGAAGGCATTGACTTCTCTCAGGAGCAGCAGAGGATCTCAGGTAGCGTACCCAGCTCGTGTGTGTGTCTGTCGTGGTTGTGCTCTGTACAAAACCAAGGTGCTGGCTCTGCGTGCAGAGCTCTTTAACCTGCTTTGGCTCCCAGAAGGGAAAGGGAGGCTCTGGCGCAGAAGGAGCAGACCTCCGACGCCCAGCGTAATGCTTGGCACTGCTACCAGCAATTTTAATTCCCTGTTCCCCTAGGTAGATTCATGTCATTTTATACCGTCCAGCTTCCTTCCCTCCCGGCAGGCTTTTGGGGGTAACGGGCTGGGTGAAGAGCATTGCAGCTGGCACCCCCAGCCTGATGGGAAACGGGGGAACCCTGATTACCCCAGTGTTGATTAATGCTCACCCCGTGACAGCAGCGTGTGTGCGTAGGGGGTCTTGTTTCTTGTTGAAACTGCCTGTTTATAAATTTGGGGGCTTAGTATTACTGTTTAGGATATGGTAAGTTTTGAGGGGATGTTTTGCGTCTTCGAATAGCTTTAAACAAAGGCTTATTGCTGGGAATTGTGGAGTTTTTATTAATGGCTTCTGATAACTGAAGTGACTCCTTCTAGTCCTTCCCTGTAGGTGGAGATGAGAGTTGCTGGCTTGTGTGGGTGGTCTGGGACACTTCTTGTGCTCTTCCGCAAGCTTGCGGCAGTAAAATCAGCTCTGGAGTGGCTGGCTCGTTGCCCCGGCTCGCACAGCCCAATAACCACTGTGTTCTGATACTTAAAACCTCACAACTAGCCTTTGCTCAATGTGTAGGAAGAAGGTCAGGTTTTCTGCACATACCAAAAAAAAAAAAAAAAAGTCTAATTTGCAGCTGAAAGATGGTGTAAGGACTCCAGCCAGTATCCTAGGGATTGAAAGTTCCACTGATCTCCCAGCTCCTACAACTACTGTTGTTCTCGACGTAGCCTCTCAGAAAGTCGAACTGATTGCTTACAGTTCTCTCCTGCCTTTCAGAACATGTTTGTCTCGAGTTTCTGTTCTTCTCTGGTGGATAGCAACAAAATTTTCTTTAAGCAGTCAGTCTGAAACAGAGCTGCTGCATATTTGTCTTCTGGCTGGTCTTGCAATCCTCACAACAATCTTGCTTTTGTTTCAAATACATAATGCGGTAGCAAGATGTGCTTTTTTCTGGCTTTTTTTTTTGTTATGTAAGTGTTGGTCTGTCCCTTTGGAAATGAGCAGAACCTCTCTATAGCCCTCCACATTCTAGTATTTTGTTCTTTAAGGCTCACAAAATTCTTTCAGCCCTGGGAGGATGGGATGGGAATTTTGTATTTAGAGTTGTGCATCAGAGTGACTATAGCGAAGATATCAAATATCCCCGTTACCTCCACGGCGATTCACCCATCCCAGCCGCACGTTCGCTGCCGGGCACGTTTGGAAATAAAGCTGCTCTGCGGGCGCGGTTGGGAGGGTTTTCTTCTGGGTAAGGTGGCAGCTGATGGGGACGCGCAGGCTCGGAGGGGCTGCGTGGCTGCCGCTGGGGTTCAGCGTACGTTGGCTTGTGCGAGGACGTGTCCTTTAGGGGCTGGTTGTATTTCACAGATAAAGAAACGTTTCCTGCGGACCAGGAATGCTTGAGCAAAGCCCGTGCGGGGCAAAAGGTCCTGCTCAGGCAGTTTGTCTCAACTGGAGCTTAGCAGGGGCCGGGTGTTAGTTTGGGTGCAATAGAATAAGGCGTAAAGAGCTGCTTCTGCCACCCAGCCTCTAAAACAAACCATCCGGAGTAGCTGGAGTGTTGCGGCGATTTTCCAGCAAAACTGCTGTTTTTCTGCAGCCCATAAAATGTTTTTGTGAGAATATTTTAACATTTCTTCTCTGACTTTCCACCTGTAAAACTCCGGATGCCCTATCGTTGCTTCAAATCAGATAAAACTCATCACAATTTTTTCTATGTATTTCACCTACATACTTCTGTGACCTTGAAGTATGTAGTTTTATTAATCTTATTATAAAACTTTATAAATAGCGTGTGAGATGATTTAGTTGTGCATTTTGTCTTTTTCCAATTTCCATAAAACAAGGTGAAGAAGGAATCATAGTGTCATTCAGTGCATTGATTTTCCTCAAACAGAGCAACGTCCTCCTCCAGCCATGTTTGCAACTCTTATAACGCTTGTCTCTGCAATGCAGCATCAGAGCGACGGGAGACGCTCCCGACTTAAAACGCTCTCATTTCCATCAGTGTTGTGTAAGTAGAGGCGGCTGGGGTGTGGGGAATAGCGAACCCTGTGCCGAGTTTGTGTTCAGGATCCGCACTGGAGCAGCAGAGTTGGAGCCAAGTCTCGGTTAAAAATCTTCCTCCGTTGCTCCTGCAGTGACCTCATTGCACGCCTTGGCTCTGCACATCGAACAGGAGCCGTTTGCCATTTTACCACCTTTTCCCTATACTTTTTGTGCCTTCTTTAGAGGAAAGTAGATGTGGAGGGGAGGTGGAGCTAACAGAGGAAGGAGGCTTTGATATCGGTGCAAATGTCCCTAGACCTGTCTCCATACTGTTTGCAGAGCGGGGAAGTAACCTACCCCTTTCCCAGCCGACTCTCTCGACAATTCCACGTTTCCAAGCTGCTTGGGAGGTTTATTTTCATTCTTCTCTTCCCAGGATGCAGCTTCACTCAAGGAACCTGGCCTCTTGCTGCTGCAGGCAGAGCCGTGGGTCCTCGGGAGCGTTGTCTCCTGTACGGAGCCGAGTCTGTGGCCTTCAAAGGAGGAGATAATTGCTTGGCTTTCATGGTGCCTTTTGAAACGGAGCTGTTTGTAGTGAGACACAGCGTGCAGAGCTTGATTAAATGGATGCCGATGAACTCTGCTGTCTGGGGACCAAAGGTGCCTAAATATCATGTACTGCTCAAGGGGTTTAGAAAATTTGCATCTTGAAATTGTTTTCGGAGGAAACGCTTTCTGACGGTGAGACCAGTTCAGCTGCAGCAGTGCTGTCCTCAGGATGCTTCCTGGCTGACCAAGAGCCGCCGTCCCAATAGCTGGGAACAGTTCTGCGTGTTCGGGGACACGGCCTTCTCCCGGTGCCGCTTGGGTTTCTGATGGGGTGGAGGATCGTCCTCCCCGGCCGCTTCTGTTAGGGCAGCGGCTGTGCTGGGGCAGGACTGGGGTGATGCCACTGGTGGGTCCGCACGGGCGTCGTGGTGGCCGTGCTGTTTGGACCTGGTTAATCTGCCACGTGGGTGATGCCAGGCTTTTTCTGAGTGTGTATCAATATCCACTAAAGAAGGCTGCTTGCAGGACAGGTGCTTCCCCCCGTACTTTAAGCATGAATTCCCTTCTCTGCCTTTAAGTCAGGGGCAAAGACAAAAGCAGAACTCGGGAGCTTGTTTGCCTTTACGGCGGCGTGATGGAGGATGCTGGAGAGCTGCCACCGCGAGGGATTCTGTCCTTTTAAATCCTTCACCTCCAAACTGCTGCATCTGAACTGCTCCGGGTGGGCACCGTCTCCTCTTGATGAGATGCTAATACGTATCCGCACACGCAGCTCACGCTTGCCATAATAAAGCTTATCTCATATCCATTTGTCACTTGGATTTTTGCTTTGGTGAGGAGGAATCCACCATGCGTTCCTAGCAGAAGTTTAACCTGTGCCTGCCCTAGACACTGCGTACTGATTCGGGCTTACGTTTTTTAGGGTCAAATGCCTTTGCAGCGGGATGCGAACCGGTTTGTGGTTTTTGGTCTAATGCGATGGCAACTGCTTAGCATCCTGCTTTGTGACAAGCCCTCCCCTCCCCGAGCCGGTCCGTAGCCGTAGCAGCACGTGTGATGGATCGATATCGTTACTGAAGAGGTCTAACATGGAGGGGAGAGGAGGAGCCAGCACTTCAGCAAAAGCTGCCGTTGTGCAGGGAGTTTTCAGCAAAATGGACACCCATCTCTGGAAGCGGGCGGACCCAGGAGCTGCCGTGTCCTTAAGCCATGTGTTTTCCTGCGGGCTGTGCTGTGTTACGCTTGGGTTGGGATCCCTCGTACACAGAGCAGCTGCTGTACATATTCCCTGTTTCTCCTTCCTTCCCTATGAGCGCAGCTAGCCAGAGCGGGCACTGCTTTGCCAGCCCTTGCTGCAAGGATGAAGGCTGTCCTGGGTGTGTGCACCCTTACCTTTCTGTTTTCTAGCAGCGTTTAGCTTTTGCTCCCCAGGACTTTGCTAGGGCTGGTTTAATGTTGCAGATCATATCGCAAACGTGCAGGGAGCTGCAGGGAGCTTTCCAAATGCTCTCACATCCTCAAAAAAAGGTGGGCTTTGAGGATATCAGGGCTCCTGACTAGTTTGGTTTCTGGAATCGCTAATTTGCCTGGAAAGGCAAAATGCCTTGCTTAGGCAGTTACTGCGGAGATGACTTTGGAGTCTGTTTCTACAAGCAGTTACTGCCTAGAACTGACGTGGGTCTAGGGAAAGCAGGGACCCGTGGAGTCACGCTGGAACAAGCCCAGGCCCCCAGATGCTTGGTTTCAGGTCCCTGCCGTGCCCCAGACTTCCCACACAAATTTGGGCAAATAGCTGGTTTCTGTACCATCAAGCTTTCCTCCATAAAACAGGGTAACAAAATTTCCGTGTCTTGCCACGGCGTTACGGACATTAAACTTCGGAGGCCCCTGGATGATAAGATAATTAGATGCATCTTGGCATCGTTATAGAATTCGGAGCTAGAATCTATTTCTTGGCCAACGGGTTCGACCCTCTGACTTCCTGGTAGAGCTTGTAAGAAAATCTTCCAAATGTATTTCCCGAGGGTGGGGTGGTATAGGCGGGAGGAAAGGAGAAGCCTGTCCTTGATCCCTGTTGGTAAGTGCTTTTTGGAGGTTGGGGAATCAAGGAACACCATCTCTTAAAGAGAACCGGATTCCACCTAACCTTTGCAGGGGTTTTTTGGCCTGGGAACAGCTGTTTGTGTTCAGTCTGTGTCTCTCTGCATGTGTGTCTTGCAGTCACATGTTTATTTAGCTCCAGCAACCCGCTTCTGATCGTGTTTCTTGCAGATGCGGGTCGGAGGGGTAGGGGAGTACAGGTCTCGCAGCAGAAACTCAGCCCCACTGCGCTGCGGCGTCTCCTCTCACTGCTGGCTTTGAACAAGAAACCTGTGCGCTGCTCGCTGGGTTATGGTGATCTGTCAGGCAGCGTTTCTCTCCCCAAAAACAGCGGAGATGAGTGGTCTCTGCTCAATAAATCAGCTTGATGCAGGCAGGAGGCGTGCTGCCCTGGCCAGGGAATGCATTTGGGGCTTGGTGAGTTAACTCCGCAGTTGACTTGAGACACGAGGAAAGCGCTTGGTTTTTTTACTTGACAAAAGAGGGAGAAATTTGTTAGCGATCTGCATTTGGCTAATTGATCTTAGTTCCAGTAAAGTCAGATGCTGGCTGTATTTCTCGCATCTGATAGCATTAATGACTACATTCTCCTGGCCTATCCATCTTGCCTAATGCGCTGCCTGAGTTTATGGCCCCCTCAGTGGATTTAAGGACTTTCAGCTGATGATCGTCCCCAGCTGTGGCAATAACTGCCTGACTTGGTTGGCTTGCATGCTCGCTGGGCGTGTGGACAGCGGCTTCATCAACACTTGCGTGCACTTGCAGTTTTTATTTCCCAGTGAAGCTTGGTCGTGTGTCTTCGGGCCACGCCAGGCCGTGTTAAACTTAGCGGTTTCCATGAGCAAACGAGGTGATGCTTTTGGTCCGGCATGGCCCATGTACTTCATTCTTCCTCCAAACAGACTCAAACTTTGCACTAAAGATCGTTATTGAAACAATAACTTGTAAAAGGACCTTTCTGAGCCATGGTAGCCCTCTCCCTTTCCTGTTCTCTTTGAAGCATGCTGTGTTACTTGAAAAATGTCTTGCGAGAGGAACTGAATTGCTTGGCCTGCTTTTTTTGCAACTTTTAAATACTCTTAATTATTTCTAGCTACACTCTACTGACTGTTTCCCCCCCTGCCATCTGCAGACCTTTTAAAGGTAGGATTCCTAAAATGTGGAGCATAAGGAGAAGGATGGAGCTGAGAATTAGGAGTTTGTTTCAATCAGAAGTTGTGATGGGGCTCTTGCTGGGAGGCACAGTGACTGGGATTCATTTGCTCCCATGTCATCCTCATAATATCCAAATATCAAGTGTATCTTGTGTATTTTGGACTTCCTTATTTTCAGCCTAGGATGTTTTGGGGCATCTGTTCTCTTCCTTTTCTTTTTGAAGGAAACCCTTCCATTCCCCTCCCTCCAAATACCCCCCCACACCTTAGTTTTCTCTTGATTTGGAGTGGTTTTAAAAACAGAAAACCTGCACTTGGTGTCACTGTAGGTTTCCCGTTTAAAAGCAGAAATACATTTATGAGTGTACAAAAGGCTGAGTAGAGTAAATTTTTTAAAATGAAATTCAGGATTTCAGAGGAAGGAACTGCTGTGGTTTGATTCCCCCTGCCAATACCCCGACTGCTTCCAGAAATGCTGTAGTAGGCAGCAAGCAGTTTCCTCACCTCTCTCTCGATAAATTAATTCTGAGCCAGCCACAAATCACTCGGAACTGTCAAAGCAGACCTGTAACATCATTTTTTGGAAACCCAAGCCGTGTAGTCCATCATCGAGTAAATATTGAGAAGTCAGTGATTTCCACTAGAGAGTTATAAAGCTGCTGTCTCCCTCCCCTCTCCTGCAGCTTCCGCTGCGAAGGCTGCTCGCTGCTTGTACAGTGGATGGAAAAGCTGGGAGGGGTAAGAGGATGAAGAGAAGGGAGGGACAGGCAATGCGAGAGCAGGAGACAGGACTGAGAGTGGAACGGCAAGCGTGGAGCTCGCTGCCTTCAGACAAAGCACGCCGCTGCAGCGCTCTGCAAGGACGCACAATTGCTTGGTGCGGGGACACGGCTGCCTGGCTGCTGGCGGACCAGCAAGGATCGACGGAAGGGAAGGATGGAGAGCCCGGGCGAGCGGGAGCTTGTTGCATAAATTCCAGGTTTAGATGCTGCCCTTCTGCACAGGCTGTGTTAAGGGAGGGAGACGGAAACCTTTTGTGATCGCTGCATTTCTCGTGCTGCAGCGTGCACTAGAAAGACTGGCCAGCTCTCTCGAACTCGCCGAGCGCGGCTCGCCTGGCAGAGGAGTTCTCCTGTGGACCAGAGCAGCAGGATTGCTTACCCCAAGAATTTCCAGATAACACCGTGAGCTCTGCGTCGTGCAGCCATTGCAGCGGGCAGGGGTGGGAAGGATGGCTTGGAAGGTACCAGCCAGCTTCAGCTGACCCGAAGGTTCGAAGAAAGCAAACCTGGTTTCCCTGATCATCTTTTTATTTGCATGTACCCTTGAAACAGATGTGCTAAGAAGCCTGAAAAATTCTGCCTGTCTTGCATAGCAAATTCCCTGATGAAAAGGAGATCTCTGAACTTTTTTTTGGTCATATTTAAGGTCTGAAGCTTTTGTAGAGGAGAGTAACAAGTCACTGGACTCCCTTCCCAGGGGTGAGGGAAGGGAGAGCTTTTCTGCACAGCTTCCATAGGGTGTCGGGAAGAATCTCATTTATCAGAGGCTGAGAGGAGGTGCCAGGGCATGTCTCGGACTTGAGCTGCTGCAGGAAGAGGAGAGAGTGTGCTTGCATTTGGTTTCTTTTTGTTTTGACGTGGTTTGGAAGCAAGGAACTAAAATGCCTTCTCCTCCAGAGCTGCTCCCTGTTTGAGTGAGGGGCTTGGATGCAGCAGCTGCGCTTAGCTGAAGAAAATGAAGGAAGGGCAAATACAAGCATGCACCAAACACCTGGCAGGACTGAATGTATTGGGTGAAAACCGTACCGATTCCTCTGTCTCTCTTGCTGTCACCCAGTGCAGCGGTGTAGTTAGGCTCCGGTGCAGCCCGCCCAGTCCGAGCAGCGTGCTGAAATGCCATGCGTCCGGCTAGGTGGTAAAATGACGGTGCCAGCACTCTCAGGCTCATGCTCGGGGTCACTCACGCCTCTGCTCCTCTTAACACCATAACGGAGAGAAAAAGCCCTTACCATGGTTTGCCTCTTTCAGGACTGCTTGGGGAAAAAGAGTATAAGCCTTTCTTTTCTTCTGCTGCAGTTTGTGTGCTTTCTTTGTCTTGCATGTCTTCCTGTGGACAGCTGCTCTAGTCTGGCTTCTGCTGCTTTTCTGAAAGTCCGTCGTGTCTGTTTTGTGTCTCAGCTGCATGAAGATGTATTTTCTCTCTAGCTGCTTTGTGCCTCCAATGCGCCGGGCCCTCTCCGCTGGCCCGCTGAGCAGGGTGGCGCATCCGAAGTTGCATGGACGAGAGGACCTGCACAGCTCTGTGCGTTCCTGAGCGGCTCCACTCCATTCCCTCGCACCTACGACTGGCTGGGAATGCCTTGGGTGAAAGTTTCCTGCCCTCCTCCCGCCCCCTTCAGACGAGCCGAGGAGTGGATCCGCATCCCCGTGGGGTTGGGCTTCATATGTTTGCCTGGCAAGAAACTCGCCTGAGCCCTGCAAGCAGTGCATGTGATGGCATGGTCCCAGGAGTGCTTCTAAACAGTTTGCCCGGGCAAGGTGTTTCTTTTTCTGAGTGTTAACTGAGATACAAATTAAAGCCGGAGCTCGCGGCGGCACTGGAAGCTTGTTGTCCATGGTCTGTGCACACAAGAGGAATTGTCTGCCAGCCGATTTGTTGTACTCTGAGCATAATTTTTTGAGTTTCTTTATGGTAATGACTATGATGTGGCAATGCCATCTGTCTTCCTCAGAGTGCCGCTGCTACCGCCTTAACGGTTTTTCCCTTTTCAAGCGTCTGCCGATTCCTCTCTCGTCAGGTTCGCGGATGCTGGAGCAGAGTGTCGGGGAGTGGCTGGAGTCCATTGGCCTGCAGCAATATGAGAGTAAGCTGCTTTTGAACGGCTTTGATGATGTCCGCTTTCTGGTAAGTTGCTGGGTGGGACCCGTGGGCTCTAACAAATGCGTTGGCCAAACCTTTACTTGTTACCGATACCCCGGGGAGCTGCGGAGCAGACCTGGCTTCTGCAGCCCAGCAGAACAGTCTTGGGGGTGCATGGAAGGTTAGACGAAAGGAAGAAATGAGGGTTGTGTTGGGTCAGGGTCATTCATCTTTGCATTTAATTCTGCTGTTAGTTTTTTTGCTATAATTTTGATTTAAAAAATGTTATTTACTCTGCCCCCTAAATCTTTACTCTCCGATTTACTCCAGAAATGGGAACTGAAATGCACTAGTGTTCTTAAGAAATCACTGAGCAGTCTTTCTGGACTATGAAGGAGGTGGTAGACCTCTCCTTGGAAGTATACTGACTCTAAGCATGCAGGCAGGATGCTAATGAGCTGTTCTTAATTGCATTGACACTGTTGGCTCTGAAACCTAATGATGGCAAGATGGTAATGCTTAATGTTGAGGGGTTTTTTTTTTAATAACCAGTGTCTAGAAACTTAAAGCTGCATGGTGTAAAAATCTGAGAATTCGTATGGAATGATAAACTGCAAAGACAGAAAATCTTGGGGCTCTGGGAGGGTTCTTCCTGCATGGCTTAAAAGAAATGCTTTTTGAGCGTGGACTCTGAGTTTTGCAAATCAAGAATTTCTAAAAATGGATGTAAACCTTTGGAGAAGCCATTTGGGCTCATGTAATATCCTGCCTTGCAAAGGGAGTGGGAACATCTCTTGGCACTGTGGATGGTGCGGAGAGGTGATACCCAGGAGGGTGTGTGCTCGTGAGCTGGGTGAAGGGGGTTCGGAAAACACCGCGGCCATCCGAGAGCGGTGAGGGTGCGTGGGGGGCAGCTGGAGAAAGAAGGGAAGACTGCATAGGGCATGGATGGAGGGGCAAGGAAGTGCACATCGGAGCAGTGTCAGTAGGGTGCTTAAAGGCAGGATGTAATTATGCCTTTAAAAACCGACCTGACCAACAGGATAAATGTCCCTGTGAATGTCGTGGCATCTCCAAACACCCCTAAAAGTTGAATACTGAGGCAGTATCCAGCCATCCCTCCCGGCCTCCATGGCAAAGCTTATCCCTTTGTCTGCCCTTAGCCTGGCAGGGCCAACGCTCCCCTAGAGAGCTGGATTTTCCTGTGGTTTATGCACCTTCAGTAGAGGAACGGCCAGCGACAGGCGGTGGTCTCGCCACGCACCCTTCTGCCTCTGCCGTATCCTGGTCCTCCAGCTCTGTGTGGCACCTTCCCTCTTCCCTGGGGAGGATTTGGGGCGAGCTGCCCTCGCCGGGCTCCGGCAATGCCCACAGCCGTGGCGGACCAGGGACAGATCCCGCTGCCGCTCCCCGGCCCTTCCCGGGGGCTCCGGCGCCGCAGTGTCCCAGCCCCTCGGTGGACCCTCGGCCACCGGGACCGCTGTGCTTCAGGCAGGTGCATTCAGCTCCCTGCAAGGTTTCAGCATCCCCTGCACGCTGGGGCGCTCTGATTCAACTTCTGGGATGCTCTGGAGATGGTACAATGAATTTAAATGAAATAATGCCCTGTAGATCCCTGCTTGGGATCCTCTGCTGATGGATCTTTGACCTTTGTGGTATCGGTGGGCTGCTCTCACTCCAGCAGTTAGCAGATAAAAATGCCTTTTCTTTGACTGGCCCTGCCTGACAAGTGTGGTGATAGACCTCTCTCAGCACAGAAGTTTAATAACAAAGGAAATTAACTTTCCACTTGTCCCCAGAGAGGTAGGAGCTGGAGGCTCGGAAGCAGGAATTTTTATTGACTGTGCTTATTTGCAGTAAATAGCAACACTTAGTTGCGAACTGTCTGATGCAGAATTTTGTCATTTATAAAATGAAAGCAAAGGCTCCTTGTACATGTCTCGTGATGTGATTTTGTGGTGTATGCGGTAGGAGTTTCCGGATCACGGCTGGATGGTTTTCTTCCCCGTCCAGTGCTGGGTAACTGCTCCCAGCATAGGAAATCGGCTTCTGCTTGGTTTCAGGAGGTGGGACACTCGCCTCACCCGCTTCCTCTCAATATTAAAAGGTAAAATTAAGAAAGATTTCCTGCATACCCTGGCTGATTTCCATGTTGTTGCTATCGCTTTTTCCAGGAAGTTGACCCTGGCACCCATGCCAAGACTGGCTTTAAGGTCCTTTCATCCAAGCCCTGGGAACTTCAAGCTAATAGTCAGCCCAGTATGAAAGTGTAATTATTAAGAATGTTTTCCTCTGTGATGTTACTTGCCTTCAGCTTCTGATGTGGGAGTAAAACCTTCAGATACAGTGCAAATGAGGAACAAGTAGTTAATTTGTTTTTAGTAGTGATTTTGATGTTCTCAGATGAATTATTAAAGTTGTTGTAAACACTGAAGCTCGCTAGTGCAGCGAGTACCGAAAGGACCTGGATGCTTGGCTCCTGGCATGGCAGGCTGTCCATTCCTTTTCTTTTTTACGCAACAATTTCTTTATTAACTGTCACTTTCAATCGCTAACAAAGAATATTTCAAACTAAGTGGCATTATTTTCCTGGAGTTCAATGGTTTCTGTGAAAGGATTAGTCCCTATTAGGGCCTCATTCCGTTAAATATTTCAAGGTCCAAAGAATGCAGGGTAATGGTTTGCAAATTGCCAGATGGGCTATGAGGCCAATTAAGTTTTAGTAGCAAAAATTAAGAAGTTGCAGTCTTTTGATATGGAAACACTCTTGTTTGCTGTGTAAGGTTTGGCATTGCATTACTCCCTGCATACAGAGCCGCGGGGTTTTTGCAGTGTGCCGAGGATGCTCCCTTGGCTGCTCGAGTCCCCGGGTGCCCGCTTGCGAGCAAACAACTTCTGCGTTGGGTAGACAAGAAAAGCATCGCAAGAGCAAAGTGTTAGATGTGTGGTGATCGTACAGCTGTAAAGAAGGCAGCGGCCTAGAAGAAGAGCTCTTAATATACTTACAAAGAAAGCTCAGCCTGCAGTAGAGAGTAACTTAAAGTAGGATTAAGAAAACAGTCTAACAAAGAGTGTACCCTGTAACTGTGGCGGGGAGCGGGTGGAATCCGGTGTGTGCTGGCACAGTGGCATTTGGTGCTGTTCTTCACTTAAGAAAAATAGATGTTTGACGTGTAGTATCTACCCAGTAGGTAGTACCACAGAATCATAGACTCATAGAATCGTTCAGGTTGGAAAAGCCCTTTAAGATCACCCAGTCCAACCAGTAACCTACATTACCAAGCCCACACTAAACCAACCAAGGGTAGGCTGGACTGAACCGTGTCCCCAAGTGCCACCTCTGCCCGCTTTTGAACGCTTCCAGGGATGGGGACTCCCCCACCTCTCTGGGCAGCCTGTTCTTACCAAATTGGTAAGAGACAAAAAGCGGAGGGTGCAGAAGCCTGTCTGGTGCTTTTTAGTGCTCTCGTAGTCCTTAGTTTAGCCAGTTCTGGTTTCAGGAATCCCTAATTTCCTGTGCATTTTCAGTTGGTTCTTGTGTTTATTTGCACCCTGTGTTACAAAAGCCCTTACAAGGGAAATGATTCATGAATGCACGGTATGGTAAAGTGATGTTGAAAAATGCTCTGTAAAGGTAGAGGGCTTCTTAATTAGATGTTAATCTAGGAAGGCAGAAACATGCATTGTTTCCAAGAATAATATTTCCGTTCTTTTCAGAAATCCAGAGATTGGTTATTAGGTGATGAGCTGTGCTCTCTGGACACACGACCGGCCATCTCGCTGGTGATGGCTCTCTGTGAGCTGCATGTCCAGCAGCACCGAGGAGACCCGGGGAGGGGGCAGTGATGCTGCTCCCTCGCTCGGGGGCTGCTCGTACGCACTGGCAGCCGAAGGAGACTTGGGAGACCTGCAGTGTTCACAAGAGGCAAGGTTGGAGATGTAAACCGTAATGTGAGCTGTGAACGTTTTACGGTTTTCCTATAAAAAGGGAAGGCAGAAGTGCATTTTAGCAGATAGCTGGGGTGGGCTGTGGATGTCAAGCTGAGGCTTCTCTGCTCTTGGGAATTCCAGCCCTGCGTCTGGGACAAAGTTGTGGTAACTTACAGCTGGAGGCCTGGTGCTCCAGGAGGATGCCTTGCCCGCAAGCTTGCGAGATCGGCACTTCAGTTGTCAGCACACTAAAAATTTCTGCTGCAGTTCAGGTCTGCTTTGGTAAGAGAGCGATGGCTGCAGTCGGGACTGACCCTCCTCGCGTCTGCGTGTCTCTGCCTGTGCTGGTTCTCTTTTGGGGGAATTCAGGACAAATAATAGAGTGTTGCTTGCAGTACCACTTGGTTCTGAGTGGTGTCAGACAGGGCTTGTTGGGAATATTCTCGCTTTTGGAGCTTGCAGAGATTTTTTGAAGGCTTGTGAATTGGTTATCGGGGAAGAACAAGTCGACACAACCATGGCGAGGAGAAGGGAATCACAGGTGTTAATGCATGAAGGCAATGCCTGCCATCCTGCCTGGACACGGCAGTAGGTGTTTTAGGAACTGGAGCCGGGACGGGACGCTGCAGACGGGCCGAGTTTGCAGCGCTGGCCTCACTGATGTGTTGCTCTGTTCCAGCGCTGAAAGCAGTTTCTTGATCAGTGTTTCCATGATGTAAAATTCTTGTTAAATCTGCAGAAGAAACCAAAATGCTGCAGCGTTTGCTATGGCACACGAGGGCATCTCGGCGACGCTGCCCGGTTTCACAGTCAAATACAGAAACAAGAATGTTTATGACTGGTTCAGAATAAGGGATCTTGATCACGTATTGACTTCAGTCAAGGGTGGGTATTGCTAACACAAGTCAGCAGGATTATTTAAACATCAATTTGACGTGACGTTAAAGCTTGCTGGGCAGTGTACATGTTTCCGGGAAGGGACTGAAGTCTCTGTTTATGTCAGATTGCGTGTAATCCTGTGCTTTGGTTGAGGGAAGAAAGGGGCTAGAAAAGATGGATTTAGGTAGCTTAGTTTTCTAAAAGACTGAGTTCTCCTTCCAAATACTAACATCTGC